AGGAGGCTGCTCCGCAGACCGGGCAGGGGCCGGGGACCCGGCCTCAGAGGCGCTTTTGTTCGGAGCCCCCCCAGAAAGCAGGCTGGGAGCCCGTGGAGGAACGGGGCGAGCGGGCGGGCCCGCGGAGGGGCTCAGCCCTCATTGCGGAGGGGAAGGTACCGCCGCCAGTCTCCAGGGCTGGGCTTTGAGCCCTGGAGATGCGCGATGGATAAAGATGGGGAAGGGCGCTTGTGGCTGAAGGAATGCACGTGCCGTGTGAGGGAGGAATACCAGGAATTCTTCGTCATCGGGGGTTCTGGGCAGGGGAGGGTCCCGGTCTGCGCTAGGGTCTGTACGGGCTCCCTCTGGCTGCTGCGTGGGGAATCGACCGGGCGGCGTGGGGAGGGGCGGTGTCCTGCAACTGCGCAGGCCCGAGGTGACTGGGACGGCGGAGGTGCGCCACGTGGTCTGAGGAGTCAGAAGGGAGGGGGAAATGCAAGTGGGCCGTTGGGATCCTCCACTTGATCCAGACTGGTGGAGAGGGGGTGGGTCTCGGGGTTCGTCCCATGTTCCAACTCTCCTCTTAACTATGAGTGAAGCTTACAGGCGTGAGGGCTGAGCCAGATACCCCATCCTTGTTTCACATGGGACAAGGACCAGTGGATTGTGGAGGGGTCGCCATGTTGGGTGGCAGGGCTTTAACAGTGGGGGTTATGATCTCTCTACTTCCCAGGACCTAAAGGTACTAAGTGCTCCGTCGTTGGTTAAGTGTTCACCCAGCCCTGCTGATCTAGGCCACCCTCACCCAGTCATGGCCTCTCTGCCACACCCATAGCCTGTGCTCTAGAACCTGGGGGGGAGGCGCCTCCCTACCACCTGGCTGGGGTTGGCCAAGGACCGCATGGGACCTCACGTGGGATGATTGTTGGGCTAATGCCCAGCGTTAGCTGTGTCGGATACAGCCACATCACATCCCCATGCCCCAACTCCCAGCACCTTAGAGAGGACCTCTCCATTCCCGACTTAGGATAACCCTTTTGCTCTTAGTCCGATGGATGAGGCTAGTGGGAAGGGCTACAGTCCCCAGGTGGGCACCAGGTCCAGTTCTGAGTGGAAGCCCTGGCCTCTTCACAGGGTTGCCTGAGAAAGGTCCGTGGGGAGGACATGTTCATGCAGCCTGATGCAGGCTCAGCCTTGGGCCCTAAGCAGTGAGCATGGATGAGGAAGAGGGAGAGCAAGCCATTTGGCACGGGGTCGAGGGGCTGTCTGGTAAACACTGGACTGCACGGCTGGCAGTTCAAGTCCACCGGCTGCTTTGGAGGGAGATGAGGTAGTCTGCTCTGGGAAGATTTCTGGCCTCGGAAGCTACACACTATCCAGGGTCGCTGAACATCTGAGGGTGGTCGTTTGGTTGCGTGTGCGCGCGCGCGTGCTGGGGCTGCACAGTTGGAGGAGCCTACTGAGGTCCTGGGGAGGTTAGAGGCGGCCCCCAGCTAACCTCTTCCTCCACCTCCCTGTCTTCCAGAGATGGCGGCAGCAGAGGCAGTGCACCACATCCATCTGCAAAACTTTTCCCGCTCATTGCTCGAGACCCTCAACGGGCAGCGACTGGGCGGGCACTTTTGCGATGTGACCGTGCGCATCCGCGAGGCCTCACTGCGTGCACACCGCTGTGTGCTTGCTGCAGGCTCGCCTTTCTTCCAGGACAAGCTGCTGCTCGGCCACTCGGAGATCCGCGTGCCGCCCGTGGTGCCTGCGCAGACCGTGCGCCAGCTCGTTGAGTTCCTTTACAGTGGCTCTCTGGTGGTGGCGCAGGGCGAAGCCCTGCAGGTGCTCACGGCCGCATCGGTGTTGCGCATCCAGACGGTTATCGACGAGTGCACGCAGATCATTGCACGCACACGCACGCCAACCCCGGGCACCCAGGCACCTGCAGCTCTGCCTGCACCAGTGCCCCCGCCCTCGCTCGCGCCTGCGCAGCTGCGCCACCGCCTGCGGCACCTCCTGGCCGCTCGTCCCCCAGGCCACCCTGGAGCCGCGCATAGCCGCAAGCAGCGCCAGCCCGCGCGCCTGCAGCTGCCCGAGCCCCCCACGCCCACCAAGACCCAGTCGCCTGATGCTGACCTGCCCATCTCTGCACCCCCCGAGGAAGGTGGTGACGACGAAGATGAGGAGACCGATGAGGAGACAGATGGCGAAGATGGAGAAGGTGGTGGCAGCGGCCCTGGGGAAGGCCAGGCAGCACCTGCCTTCCCTGACTGCGCCCCTAGCTTCCTGGCCGCCTCTGCGGACCGGGCGCCCGAGGATCCCCCGGCGGCTCTAGCTGGCCTCCCAGACTACAGTGGCACCGGGAGGGACTTCCTCAGGGAAACTGCGGTGGCCCAGGACGTGATTCCTGACTGCTTCGTCCCTGCCTGGAACGATGAAGAGGGTGCCGTCACTGAAAGCTGCCCCGCGGAGAGTCCGGCCCCTGGCCCGCCCGACTGTGTCCTGGCCAGTCCCCGCCCACCAGGCGTGAAGACCCCGGCACCACAGGCCACCCTCTTCCCCTTTCATCTGGGTGCCCCCGGGCCTCCCACGCCCTCGGGGCCTGCTCCAGCACCCCCACCCCCGCCCCCGCCCACCACCACCTTCTATCCTCTCCAGGCTGATGGGGTCTCCGGGGGTGGCGGGCAACTGGGGGAGGCTCCGGCCCCAGCCCCTGTGCCCTCAGGCCCCACCGCGCGAGCCTCGGGCTCTGAATCTTCAGCCTACGAGTGCACCCATTGCCGCAAGACCTTCAGCTCGCGGAAAAATTACACCAAACACATGTTCATCCACTCGGGTGAGCTGGGTTTGTCCCTGGAGAGCAGGGCTCCTGCAGAGGGGGTGGGGGGGCTACTCTGAGTCGCTGGCGGTCAGGGTGGAGGGTGGAAGATCTGGACGTGGAGGAGGGGAGAAAAGGTGTGGAGCGATAGCCTCGGACATCTGGGTGAAGGGTGCGCTTGGGGAGAGGGGATCCCCACCAGGCTGTGGGGTCCTGGGATGGCAACAGGCGTGGGGAGGTGAGGGACAGTTGGCTTACCCAGGCCTCTCCTTTCACCCACAGGGGAGAAGCCACACCAGTGCGCCGTTTGCTGGCGATCCTTCTCGCTGCGCGACTACCTGCTCAAGCACATGGTTACGCACACGGGCGTGCGAGCCTTCCAGTGCGCCGTCTGTGCCAAGCGCTTCACACAGAAGAGCTCGCTCAACGTGCACATGCGCACACACCGCCCCGAGCGTGCGCCCTGCCCTGCCTGTGGCAAGGTCTTCTCACACCGGGCGCTTCTGGAACGCCACTTGGCCACCCACCCCGCCTCCTGATGGGGCCTGGCCATGGAGTCCTCGTGGAGTCTGCCCCTGGCCCAGGGCCAGCAGTGCCCTAATCACATGTCCTCCACCAGACCCTCGTCCCAGTGCAGGCCCCCTTCCCTACCTCCACCCTATCTCCAAACTTGATGGGGGGCCAGCCTTCCTTCCCCATCCACTTACATACTCTGCACTTCCAGGACCCCAACCACCTCCCAGAACTGTACTCTTGTCTGAACAGGAAGTGGGAGCCTGATTTGCCCTCCACCTCGATTCCCACCACCCTCCCTTGTCCCTGTGGGTGGGGTGCAGCACTGCCAGGCCACTCCCCAGTCTTGTGCAGGACTCGGTGAAGCCAAGTGTATGTGCCCACACCTGGGTATCCTTCCATCATCTGGCCCCTGAGGAGGGTCGGGCAGACTCACCAAGGACAGGGCTGGGCTTTGGGCACAATAAAGGACGGCCGGCCGGGGCCTGAGCCGTGAAGCCATGAGTACCGAGACTGGGTTTTTCCTCCACTGCACACCATCTCTGGGCAGTGTCTGCTGTCCAGCCCCAGCCTCCTGCTGGCCTTCTGTCCTGGAAAGGAATAGATGTGAGGCTGGCCTCAGGCTCTGCTGTGTACGTCCTGTGGGGAGGGGACAGACTGCTCAGACTCCTGGCTGTAGCTTACAATGCACCTTTCCAGGCCTGCTTCCCCCAGACGGGCCGTCAGGACTGCTCTCCAGCCCTGCCCCAGCTATGACAGATTGGTAGTTGAGTGCCTTACTTGGGGGCTGGGGAGGGAGCTTTGCCTGAGCTGTCTGAGGGGTCAAAGCCCCAGAATACTTGCCTTGGCCACTGGAAGCGCAAATTCCCGAGTGGTACAAGACACTGGGCATGGTGGCCACCATTCCTGGGGCCCAGTAGGTGGCTGAAGACAGCATGGACGCTCAGGTCGCTGTGCCCACTGGCTGCCTACCTGCCAAAGAGCTTTTTTCTCCCTCCATCCAGGGGTGTGGGAGGTTCTTGGCTGCCTCCAATGGGCCCCAGTCTGAAACAGGGGAGGGCAACCCAGAGCCAACCGTAGCACCTCTCTGTGCCCGTCCCACTCAGAGATTAAAGGTCAGGGCCTTTTCTGCCCAGCACCAAACACTTCCCTGCTCCTGACCCAGAGAGAAAACAGGGTATAAGTACAGCACTACTTGTTCTCTTTTACTCAGGATTAGCTCTGTACCTGGCAGGGGGTCAAGCTCCTCCCAGGGTCAGGACACCAAGGCTGTGCTCCCTTGGCAGCGTGGGGTTCAGATCCCCATGGGTCAAGACGTCCTGGGGGAGAGCCTGCTCTCTGGTGAAATGGACACCAAGGAGACCCAGCCTCGTAGGGCTTCTGGGGCGGCCCATCTTGCCATCTTGTTCGGTTTGGGTTTCCAAAACTGGATTGTCCATTTCTGAGACCATGGTTACTCTGGATGTGTGCATGTGTGTGGAGGGGGAAGTGGTAGCTGGGAGCAGGGAACTCTGGAGAGTGGGCTGGATAGGAAGGACAGCAAGGAGAAATGACAGCAGACTGGTGGAGCCTGTAGAGGGGACAGAGAACGGGGTCCCCAGTGGTCAGCCACAATTGCCCAGGGGAAACAACAAAAGGAGCCCCTACAGATGACAGCAGAGGCCAAGGTGAGACATGACAGAGAGGTTGTGTGGGGGGAGACTCCTGTATAAGAAAGCACTTTATAAAAAGTAATTGTACACTAAGAAAATATCCCAGTCCTGTCCAGATCAAGTCCATAAGTCCGATAGCCCATATTGTCTGATACCAATCTATAAAGTCCTCTTCAGACTCACAAAACATGCAATGATGCCGAGTGCAGGAAGATCACAGACCAGTGGGTCGGAAGTCATGGATCCATTGGGGATAGAAGCATCTCAGTGCTGGCAGGGGTCTGTCTCCATGTCGCTCCTCCAGCTCAGGGCACTAACAGTTCCATGTGTCTTGTCAGCTGCAATGTCTCCCAGGGAGTGGGCGTGTGTCTCACCTCCAATGAGCTATTGATCTCCTTGCCTCTGAATGAGGGCATTGAGCTCCGACCTGATTGACAGGCTAAACACCACCCCTTCACTCAAGCTTCTCAAATTGACAACAGATTATGTAACTACCACAAGGTGCCTACAGCTGAGGGTGGGCTAGGGCCTGATTGGGCAGGGCAAGCACAGAGGCCCCAGAGCCATGCAGAGGTGTACTTTGAAGATGTCCCAGGTTCCGTTCCAGACTACCACAAGAAAACAAGCAAACACAAACAGGTAAGTTTGGTTTATACTATAATATATCCTCAACACGGGGGCCAGGACAATGGACTCACACAAGAACAATTGTGAGGATGGTGCCGGACCAGGGGGTGTTTCATTCTGCTGGATACAGGATCACTGAGTCAGAGCTGACTCCACAGCACCCACCACCAACAGCAACACTGTCTCCTGAGGAGCCCTGGTGGCATGATGGGTTACACATTGGACTGCTAGCCATAAGGCCAGCCATTCAAGCCCACCAGCTGCTCCTAAGGAGAAAAGTGAGGCATTTTGCTCCTGTAAAGACCTATAGTCTCATGGGCACAGGAGCAATTCTATGTTGTCTTATAGGGTTGATACAGGTCATCACTCAATGGCAGTGAGGATGAGGATGGTGATCATCTATTAAAGGGGCCCTTGTGTAGTGGGTTAAACACTGAGCTGCTAACTGGTGTAGGGGGTTTGAACCCCACCAGCCACTCAGATCAAGGGTAGCAGTCTGCATCTAGTGTGTGCTGTGAGCTCTTGAGTCAGAACTGATTTGACCAAGCAGGTATAATTCTGTTGTTGATAGTCTGTGAAGCTTGCAATTACATTATGACAAAAATTTGGAATATTTCAAAAATGACCAAAACGTGACACAGAAAATGGTACTGACAGAATTGCTTGACCCAAGGTTAGTACACACACACCTTCAGTACCGTGAAGCACAATGACACTAAGTACCCTTTTACCCAGCAAAATAAAAACCAACTCACTGCTACGCAGTCATTCCAACTCGCAGTGACCCTACAGGACAGGGTAGAACTGCCCCTGTGGGTTTCCAAGACTCATTCTTTTTAAAAATTAGTATTAATCATTTTATTGGGGCTCTTACAAATCTTACACAATCCATCATTCAACTGTATGAAGGGTTTATCTATCTTGGATTCCATGTATCAAACGATCTGAATTATACAAATGATCATATGCAGATCTAACAAGATTCATGAGGTAAAACCAAGACCATAATAGTATGGAGGGAAATATTAAAGGACTAGAGGATAGTTATGTGTTTCATCAGTGCTATACTGCATCCTAGATATACCATCTCTTCTGTGAGGGGCTGTCCAATTATCTTACAGGTGGGTTTTGGGTCTCCACTTTGTCTATGCTTCTTCACGTCTATTTGATTGCTTGTTTTTGAACTTCTGATACCTGTTCCCATTGACACTTCATGATCACACAGGCTGGTGTGCTTCTTCCATATGGACTTTTTTGCCTCCCTGCTAGATGACCGCTTATTTAACTTCAAGCCTTTAAGACCCCAGATGCCATATCTTTTAATAGCCAGGAACCATCAGCATTCCTCACCATATTTGCTTATGCACCCATTTTGTCTTCAGCGATTGTGTCAGGAAGGTGAGTATCATACAATGCTGCATTATTAGGATAAACCATTGGTCCCATTGCCATCTCCTTGGGATTGCTTATCCTGGCTTTCTTATTTAGATAGACAGCAAAAGGGGAAAAAAAGAGACCATACAAATATTTCCAAGTCTAACTGTTGTCCTGACCCATAGTAGATGAGGACCCCTCTGTTAAATAGCTAGCAGACCGTGATATCATCCATCGTCCACTCCTCATTTCTTTCCGGGATCCATCTCCCAGGACCCGCGTACTTAACAGCACTTAGACCTTTTTAGTCCTCAGCATTCGTTTCTGAGGGGCATGCCTTCTACAAGACCCTGTTGCTCTTCCTGCAGTCAGAGAGGGAGCCGTCTCCCACCCCCATAGCACCTTTAGACTGTCAGTGTGGCCCTCTTAGGAATATCCCCCAACCAGTTCAGATGAGGTGCCAAGCACTAGTTTCCTCAGGGGCTTGGGACTCTGTGGCTTCACTCCCATTGCCAGTCTGTTCCACTCCCCACTTGGTTTGCCCTGTGGGCAGGTGAGACAGCTGCGCTCCCTGAACTGAATCTTCAGTGCTGTCCTCTGTAGCTGTGGTTTAGGGAGGGGATGTCATATCTCAAGATGGGGCAGGCCCTGCAGTCCTCTCTGTGAAAGAGCTTGGCTCACTGGAATGAGCTCTACCCTCTCCCTCCCTTTTCTGTGGAGACATAAATATTACCCCTCCCCTTGGGTGGATTAGTGAGCTGTCTTTCTACGCACGTGCTATCTACATCTTTTTTTCCTTTTTGATGATGATAGTTGTGTTTAGTCTGGCTCTTGCCAGAGTATCTGGTCCTCAAACAGGGAATCATGCAATATGTACATTTTCCCCTGTGACCATTCTGTTATTTGGACTTAATTCAGTGGACTCATGTTGTACTTGTCCTCTTGTTCTTGGCTCAGGGCTTGGCTCGGCTCTTGATGGCGAGGTGCCTCATCATTTCTTCACTGTTTTTCAGGGATGTAGTACTTCATGGTGTGTATATACCAGAGGGGTTTTGTTGTTGTTTGTTTGTAAAGATCACTTTATTGGGGGCTCTTATGATCCAAACATCAATTGTACCAAGCATATTTTTACTTATGTTGTCATCATTATTTTCTAAACATGTACTCCTTGAGTCCTTGGTATCAGCTGCCCCCGACCTTGTGCCCCACTCTCGTGACCCCGTTGATAAATTATAAATTACTATTTCCATATCTTACACTGACCACTGTATCCCTTCACCCATTTCCGTGTGTGTGTGTGTGTGTGTGTGTGATGACAGTCAGCTGGAGCACACTCCCTATGGTGTGTCCCCAGTATTGTCCTCTGTCATGGTGTGCTCCAGCGAGGGGACATCATGTGTCCAGCTGTTGTCGGCCCTACAGTCCTCTGTGTGTCTTAGCAGCTCTGGGCAGGGGCATTGTCCTCAGGGCTGGGTGTGTATGGGGTCTAGTCTCTCACTCCTTTTCCTTCTTGGTTGCTTCTGTGTGGGCATGGCAGGCCGGCCCCTCTCCCCACCCTGTAGGCTTAGTGCTGTCCCCTGTAGCACATACTTCTAGGGGTCCGTCTGGCTGATTGGGCCGGCCCTGTTGCCCTCGTGGTTACGTTGCCCTCAAGGTTTGGTGTGCTGTGGCGGGTCTGCGCTCACACTCCCCTCTCTGTCATGACTTCAGAGGCCAGTTTGGAGCAGAGAGGGTGAGTAATGGAATCTCATGAGCTTATACCAGAGTTATTTATTTATTATTCTTTTTAATCACTTTATTGGGGGCTCTTACAGCTCTCATCACAATCCATCCATCAATTGTGTCAAGCACATTTGTACATTTGTTGCCATCATCATTTTCAAAATATTTTGTTTCTCCTTGAGCCCTTGATATCAGCTCATTTTCCCCCCTCCCTACCAGTTTTTTAATCCATTCATCTAGTGATCCGCACCCGTTCCAACATTTGTTGTTTTCTGATTTTTTTGAATTGGGCTATTCTTGTGGGTGTTAGGTGGTATCTCATGGTTGGTTTGATTTCCTGGATGGCTAATGGATGGGCAACATTTTCTCACATGTTTACAAGCCATCCGGGTCTCCTCCTTTGTGACTCTTCTGTTCAAGACCTTTGCCTACCTCCTCAGTGAGAGATTCAATTTCCCCCCCTTATTGTAAGGTTGTCCTAGGGTTCTGTAGATTTTCGTAATAAGACCTTTGACTTTTGTCTGATGTGTCATGCCTAAATACCTTTTTCCAGAGACTAACTGTTTACGGGAGCACAGAGCCTCGCTTTTCTATCGCAGGGCGGCCGGTGATTTTAAACTGCTGACCTTGTAGTGAACAGCCTCCGGCCTGACCACTTAGGTAAAGCTAACCGGTGGCCCCTGTGGGGTGAGAGCAGCCTTGGCCCCCAGCCAGAGCCTGGGCCCGGGAGGCGGGTGGAGCCGTGCCCAGTGGGCGAAGGCAAGGGCAGGTACCGCGCAGGGTGCAAGCGAGAGTACCCGGGAGAGACAGGCGGTGCGATGGGTGCCTGGCTGGGGCTGCTGCTGCTGCTGGGCCCAGCGGCGGCGGCCGTGGCGCTGCGCTGGCTGCTGGGGGAGCTGGCGTGCGGCGCGCTGCTGGCCGGGGCCGCGCTGGCCTGGCCCTGGCTCGGGCCCTGGGCCCCGTCGTGGCTCAGCGTCGGCGCGGCCGCGCTGGCCCTGGCGCTGCTGCCCCGGCGGCCGCCCCCCGCGCTGCGCTGGCTGCCGGCCGACACCGTCTACTTGGCGCGCCTGCTGCGCCTGGGGCTGCAGGCGCGCGCGCGGATGAGCCGCCGGCCGCCGCTCACCTTCGTGGACGCCTTCGAGCGGCGGGCGCGGACACAGCCAGACCGCGTGTCCTTGGTGTGCACGGGGCCCCAGGGTCGCACGGTCACCTACCGAGAGTTGGACAGCCAGGCCTGCCGGGCGGCGTGGACCCTGCGGGGCGAGCTGCGCGGCCCCGAGGACACGGCCGCCCTCCTGGTGCTGGCCTCGCGGGCCATCCCAGCCCTGGGCGTGTGGTTGGGGCTGGCCAAGCTGGGCTGCCCCGTGGCCTGGATCAACCCCAACTGCCGTGGGGCCACGCTCGTCCACGCTGTGCTGAACTCTGGGGCCCGCGTGCTGGTGGTCGACCCAGGTGAGGGACCTCCACACCGGGGGCAGGGCAGGGGTCCGGGAGGCGCCCATGGAGGACACCCCTTCAGGGAGCGGAGGTGGAGGTGGAGGAGACCAAGTCGAGTTAACAAGAAAGCCCCAGGGAACCCTAATCGAAGATCAGTGGTCCTAGTTTCTCTTTGTAAGGGCTAGTCCCCAAACCACCAACCCAAACAGTGGACGAGCAGGTCAAAAGCCACCACTGATGGGGTTCTCCAGCCCATATGGCCAACTTTGCTCCAGGAACGACTTCCTCCATAGCAGGAGGCTGCCCACCCCGGGTCCCAGCCCCCTGCTGACTCCCTCGGAGATGGGCCTGGCCTCAGTTTCCCGTTCCACTGGCCCCTGCAGACCTCCGGGAGAGCTTGGAGGAGATCCTTCCTAAGCTGCAGGCTGAAGACGTCCACTGCTTCTACCTCAGCCACTCCTCCCCAACGCAGGGGGTGAGGGCTCTGGGGACAGCCCTGAATGCTGCGCCCACGGACCCGGTGCCGGCCCACCTGCGGGCCGGGCTGACGCCTCGCAGCCCAGTGCTGTTCATCTACACCTCAGGAACTACTGGTAAGGGCACACACCTGGCTCAGTCCCTGGCCCTGGCCTAGGTTCCAACTTCCAACTTGACCTCCGAAACCCACCTTGACCTTTAATCCTGGCATGTGGTCTGATCCCACCTCCAGGTGATTCCGTTCCTGAATACTGAAATACTGCCTGCTGTTTAACTTTTTCTTGGGTGAAAGTTTACAGAGCAAATTGCAAATCCAAACAATTCATGGACCTTTTGATGTGTGGCATTGATTTGTGACCTACCAGCAGCAGCCTCCCCACTGGATGTACTGTGTCCATCTGCCCTTCTTCTCTAGCCCTTCCTGCCTGCGAGCTCCAGTTTGTCTCCCCCAACCCAATGGGGAATCCTCATACTTGAGCAAAAGGCTCATACCCCAGTACAAGCCTGGTGGTGGGAACATCACTCTGACTGCTGGCCCGTCTTTGACCCAGCCGCTTGAGTGCTGCCTCTTCACCTCTCCACCCTTGTGTCCCCCAGGACTCCCCAAACCAGTCATCATCTCCCACGAACGGCTGCTGCAAACGGTGGGTATGCTGGCCCTCTGCGGAATCACAGCGGAAGACGTGTTCTATGTGGCCATGCCGCTGTACCACACCATGGGGCTCATGCTGGGAATCATTGGCTGTCTAGAGTCCGGTGAGCCCTTCCGCGGGGACTTCTCCAACTCTCAGAATCCCAGGGTGGGTTAACAAGCCCTCCTGGGGTCTCATCCCAGGGCCACTTGAAGAGGGCCTTGGGTACCGAGATTCCTTACAGGCTGCCCTTTGGAGGTGACAGGATAGCCGCTGGCAACCAGGGAACCTTCCCATCTTTGTTCTTGAGTGCTGGTGTGACAGAATGACCCCACGCTTCACACACAGCAATGTACGCCCTCACAGTGGAGGAGGCTAGAAGTCTGAGTTCAGGGTGCCAGTTCCAGGGGAGAAAGATTGGGCTTTCTACTCCTCTCCGGTAAACAGCTACGAGTCTCAGAAACCCACAGGGGCTGTTCGTGCTAAGTCAACACTGACTTGATGGCAGTAGCTCTTGGAGTGTGCGTTCTAGGGGAAGGCTTTCTCTCGGTTGGCTCCAGGGAAGGTCACTATCGCTTTTCGACATTTGTGGGCCTGACATCTTTGGCGATCTCCATGTGCCCTGGCATTTATCTCCTCCTGAATTCAGGAGGCTCCTAGAGCAGGGAACCTGGGTCCAAATGACCAGCTCCACTCCCAGCTCTTTTCTCCTTGGAGGTAGTAAGTCCATCTCTGTCTGCCTGCTCCCTTCTCATCTCTTGTAAGATGATAGGTGACACTGGCCACCCACTATGGTCAAGGTTGTGATCCGAGTATGAGTGTGGTCTCCTACTTTAATCCCCTTACATTGCACCAGGGCTGATCCCATCACCGGGGTTGATTGCATCGTCCCACATGGCCTCACTGTATCCTGATTGCCCGCCTACTGAGAACATGATCCAGTTGAGTTGACACATCATTGTGGAGGACACTTGTGACACTTCTGAGTGGGCAGTTGGGATGCTGATGACAGACTTGTGACCTGGCCCCAAGAGGAGCTGGAGAGGCAATGTTTGCCACAGGTGGTTCCTTAGGGCCGCATCCCAGACATCTGACTTGGAATTTGAACTGGGACCTCTCCAGTCTTTCTTTCCTCACTTTCCCCAAGGGTCACCCCCAGCCTGTCTACACCGCCTGACTGCTTGTTTCCTTCCTTCGTGCACCCACTCAGTTTGTGTGAAGTTGCTGGTGTTGTAACTGGTGAGCGGGCTCAGCTGCTGACCCAGAGGCGGGGAGTATGAGCTTACCCTCAGGTCCTCCCACTGAAACAGCCACAAAGCTGATGGTGTGGTCAAACTGACCCACCTGCAGTTGCCCCACGTCAGAATCTAGTCCTGAAGTGTGCTTTTGGTTGTCTTTTTTCAACCTCTATTTTATTGTTTTGTTTTTTTAATGTCTTATTGTGGAAATGGTCAAACCTACGCAAAAGTAGAACAAATCACTTGATCACATCCTGCAATCCTGCTTAGCCTCAGCTTCAACCACAACTAATTAACACACGCCAATTGCTTTTTGTTCATCTTTGGAGTGTGACTTGGGTGAAAGCTGACGAAGCCAACTGATTTTCCCTGCAACTATCTATACAAATTTAGATTTGTGACACTGGTTGCAATCCCCACAATGGAACTGCACTCCGCCCACCTTCTTCCCTGTGGGCCAGTTCCTGTCGTCCTTCCTTTCCCATTCCTGCCTGCCTTCTAAACTCTACGCTTGGACACGTGCTGCCCTGTTGATTTCACTTGGTTGATTGTTCTACGGGGTGCCTTTCTCCCTGGCTTTACGGTGCACCTTGTAGGCGTGGCTCACTTTTGATGGAATGTTGCGCACAGAAGCTAGCTCAGTGGCAGGCCTGCACGTGGTCCACTTTATCTGTGTTGCTCTGTGCCCCACAGGACTCTGCTTCTCAGCCGGGTTCCATACTTCATTGCAATCGGCCACAGGTCACAGGCAGTGCTCACGATCACGGGGTTTTTAGGGAAATGAGAAATGCAAAGGGTACAGTTGTTTCAATAGGACAGTTTCTTCTCTGCTGTGCCCAGCCAGGCCTTTCTTTGGCCCTCAGATATTTGACTTGGCCTCTGCCCAGCTGCTTGAGCAACACTACACAGCTCTTTGAGTGTTGTCAATAAATACCCAAAAGGCATACCTTTTGCTCTAAATCTTAACCTGAAGGCATCCAGCTTTATCTCTGTGAACCATCAGAAACTTGGCTTCCCCAATTACTAAATAAGCACTCCCTGAAGCAGTCCATCCCACAAGCCAGCCTCTGGCCCTAATGCACTCAGCTTGACTTGCTCTGTGGGTTGGGATGTCCAATCCACTGCTCTGGCTCCTGGCTCTGCTGCCTCTCTGACACCACTCCTCCAGTGGGTGTCAACACTGTCTCCTGGATCAAGGAGGTTCAGTGCTCAAGAATCTCCCAAGTTCAAAGGCTGAACCTCCTTGTGACCCCTTGATAAATTATCATACCTTACACAGACCTCTGTCTCCCTTCACCCACATTGTTTCTGTTGTTCATCCCCCTGGGGGGGGGGGGCGCAGGGAATTATGCATCAATCATTGCAATTGGTTTTCCCCTTCCTCCCCTCCTGACATGGCTACTCACAATTCTGTACCTGAGGGGTTTATCCCACCTGGATTCCATGTGTTGTGAGCTCTTGTCTGTACCAGTGTACATGTTCTGGTTCCGGTCTAGTCAGAACTGAAAGGCAGGACTGGGGACAAAACAGTGGGGGGTGAGGAAGCCTCAAAGAACCAGAGAATATTGTGTATCTCATAGGTGCTATCCTTTGCCCTGGTTGGCTTATCCCTTCCTTGTGACCCTTCTATGAGGGGCTGTCCCATTGTCTACAGATGGGTTTTGGGTTCTCTGCTCCAACCCACCTTGTTCTCAAAAATATGTTTCTTTGTTTTAGATCTTCTGGTGCCTGTTAGCTGATTCAGTCCACAGCTCGTGATCGCACAGGCTGATGTGCTTCTTCTATGTGGGCTTTGTTGCTTCTCAGCTAGATGGCTGCTTTTAAGACCATCAGCCTTTAAGACCATCAGCTTTCTTCATGTTTGCTTCTGCACTCATTTTGTCTTCAGCAGTTATATGGGGAGGGTGAGCATCACAGAATGCCAGGTCGTTAGAGCCAAGTGTTCTTGCGTTAAAGGAGAGCTTGAGAAGAGGCCCAAACCCATCCACTTCCTCAGTGTATTATACGTATATGTACATAGGCCAATACCTCTGCTTTTATGAATTAATATATTTACATATGAGCACAGCTATGTTTATACCTCTATCCATAGCTTTGTTTCCTAGATCTTTCCTCTGTTTCCCTTTACCTTCCTCCTGCCCCACAATCACACACCCCCTTCTTCTGCCTCTTAGTAATTCCTCTGAGCTAGACTGCTGTTGCTCCAACACCACGGGGATCTCTACCATCCTCCTTGCTGTTGATTTTAATTCCCTAGTTGTTCCCCTGTCTATGGTGTTGTTTGACCCCTGCCTCCTCTCCCCCCCCACCCCAGCTTCCTCCAGAACCTTCAGTCTGATTGTTTTCTCCTCCAGCCAGCTTTTTAGAAGACATCCTCTTCAAACAGTTCCTGTTTTGTAGCAGGAACCCTCTTCACATGTCCTGCTGATGGAGTTGGAACCAGCCAGCCCTGTGTCCAGGAGTTGTGCTTTCTCCATTCGCTAAGCTCTTTCTGAGAGCAATCCTGGCTTAGCTAGGGACACATGGATGAGCCCATATTGTCCCCGTGTTCCAGGGGGTCACACCCAGAGGATCAAAGTGGCTTAGAAACATGACCTGAGCCCCCTTAACTCTTCCCTTAGGAATCACCTGCGTCTTGGCTCCCAAGTTCTCTGCCTCCAGCTTTTGGGATGATTGTCGGAAGCACAGTGTAACTGGAATCCTGTATGTGGGTGAGGTCCTGCGGTACCTGTGCAATGTTCCCCAGGTGCGGGTTCCTGGAAGAGGACTGGGGGTGGGGGTGGGGAGGGAGGGCTGTAAGATTAAGGGTGAACACCCGGGGTGACATCCCAAATAGAGGTCTGAGGTAAAGACCAAGGTACAGGATTTAGGAAAGTTTTTTTGGGGGGGCAACTAGTTTTAAATGCAGCCATACCTCCTTTTATTTCACTTTGCAGATAATAATCC